GAGAAGTCCTCCAATCCCAGGACCAGCCCATTGAACAACCAAGGCCTCCTTTTAGCCGCATTCCTTAGGCTGGTCCTGGGAGCGGAGGTACCGGTATATTCACCTTATAAGATGCACCAACTTCCCCACCCCCATTTTGGGGAAGAAAAAGTGTGTCATATGGCGAAAAATACGGTATACAATTTTTGATAAGGTCTCATTGGGAGGATGGGAGTGGTGAGGTAGACAGCTGAGGATCTGTCTTCCTTCCAGGATCCTTTCCTATCTCTCCCATTCACCATACTACATAAGGAAGGAATCCATTTGAGTACACGGAGTGGGAATTGAGATGGGAAGCAAAAATGGGGCTTGAGGAGGTTTCTTCTCATTGGGCAATTTGGGCACTTGAAAGGCTCCTTTCTTGTATTATTTTTTTCTTTGAGCATATGAATATTTTTTCATTTTTAGTTAAAACATGCATGATTTGGGTTTCCATAACCTTCTGGTATTTCATAACCCTTCTGACATTTTGAAAAAAAAAATCCCAATATGATAAGGTGTGTAGGAACATTTTTTAAAGAGAAGAATCCCACTTTCCTGAGGGTTCCAACAGTGCAATTTCTTATTTTATTTAAAAAACTTGAACAATTCAAGGGATTTTGATATTGTGGTACTGCTGAAATATGATGTGTCTTTGTGTGGGGTGTGCTTCATAAAAACTCCCAGGATTGCATGTAGCATTCTAGTCATATACTACCCAACCCTGAACAATACCATATGAGAGGAAGACTTCACAACAGGTGGTGAAGATCAGTTTATGTTCTGAGATGGAAAAGGGTATAGGACCAATGTAGAGTGTCAGAATGCATGTTAGTGCATTTAACAGCCATCCTTGACACAGTCAGCTCCAGGTATTTGGGACTATCACTCCTAGCATTCCTGACCATGGATCATACAACCCTGGGGTGGATGGGAATTAAACCCAAAGCATATTGCTGAAGAAAGTTGCCATGTAAAATTCTAGCCCAAAATAATTTTTAAAAATGAATCAATTCAAATTAAAAGATGGCTCACATAGTGCTGGTCCAAAGAGCTGTTTAAAAATGAGCAAGGTTCAGTCCAAAGGGATGCAATGCTGATTAAGCAGATGAAGTTATCTTCATCATTTTGTTGTTGTGTTAATGTGTGCTTTTAAGACACTTCCAATTTATGGCAACCTTGCGGTGAACTTATCATGGGGTTTTCTTGTCAAGATTTGTCCAGAAGGTGTTTGTCTTTCCTTTGTTCTGAGGTTGAGTGAATGCAACTTGCCCAAGGTCACCCAGTGGGTTTCCATGGCTTGAACCCTGGTTTCCAGCTTCATAGGCTAATGCTCAAAACAACAAATCCATGCTGGCTCTCTCAGGGGTTTGTCTGGCCTCCCATATTTAGAGAGACAAAACCAATGGAAATGGATTTATAGCTTCACTAAGAAGCCATTGCTGCTATGTCTGGAACCAACCATTGCAGACTTAACGTGTCGGTGGCAACATGACAAAATTCCAGGCACCAATTAAAAATGCTTGGGTTATTTTTATTTTTATTTTATTTTTTTTTAAAAAAAAAACATACTCTCTTCAAAGGACTAACTAGACTCCAGATGCATTTGTGGAGGAGTTAAAAGCAGAAAGGCAACAATTTCGCTCACCAACTACTTAATTTGTCCCAGTTTGGAGTGACAGAAAATGAATAAAGATATTTATCCCTCGCTACAGGATTTTAATTGTCACTAATCTAATTGCTACTCTGTCGATTGTTGCTGCGTCTCTGCTCATTAAAGTGTTGTTGCTTTGCTGGCATTTTTGTTTATTCCCAAGCGGCTCTTCTCACAAGCTGCTCTCACATCTCAAAGGAGAAACCCAGACATTTTTACACAAAGGCTGAGATGCATTAACTCTACTGGAGGAGTGTTAAATCTCTGCCAACATGTTTGCAACAGTGTCTGGGGGCAGAGGCTGTCCCCTTTCCTCTGTTTTCTCCCTCTGTGTACAACACAGCAGGGAATGATGGCATCTGATTGACTACAGGAGTGTACGTGAGTTAAGTTCTGACTGTGCTTGTAAGCCTGTGTCTCCATATGAGCCTGCTTGCGGATGACAGGCTTTGGAGGAGGGCTTTCTTTTTGCTCCACCATCCTTCCAGGCTCATCTGATGATGACACAGGACAGAGCCTTCTCAGTGACTGCTCCAAGGCTATGGAACTCCCTTCCAAGGAAGATTTAGTTTACCTCCTCTCTGCTGTATTTTTGCTGGCAGACAAAGATTTTCAATCATAACTAACAAAAATTTTCAGCCATAACTAATCAGGATAGAGGACCACAGAATTAGGTTGTAAAAGTATTGTTTTCATTGGTTGTTCTGACTGATGGTTTAATGCCTTTTAAAATCTTGAGCCAGTGTGGCATAGTGGTTTGAGTGTTGATTCAATTCCCAGTTCAGCCATGAAACCTCCTGGGTGACCTTGGACAAGTCACATGCTCTCAGCCTCAAGGGAAGGCAATGGCAAATCCCTTCTGAACAACTCTTGGCAAGATAACCCTATGAATGGTTCACCTCAGTATTGCCATAAGTTGGAAATGATCTGAAGGCACACAACAACAACAACAACAACAACAACAGCAACAACAGCAACAAGAAGAAGAAGTTATTTTCTAAACCATTTTTAATCCCATTTAGGAGAAAGTCAGGATACTCATCAAATCAAGAAATAAATTGTGCACCTAAAAAAGAAGAAGCTTACACACACACACACACAATATTGATCACGTGACGCTCAGTTGGTGGTTACATGTGGCAGGGCTTTCTCTGTAGTATCCCCCACAACTGTGGACCTACCGCTCAAGGGTCCATTTCTTCTAAATTTCCAATGGGCAGTGAAGACTGCTATTCTAGATCTTAAAATCTAGATCTTTGGATCTTAAAATTAGGTCTGCTTTGGCTTCGCTTGAAACTGTCCAGTTTTGGAGCAATATTTAAAGAGAAGACTGATGGTTGTTTTGTTGTGTATTCAGTGTTTTTAAAATGGTTTTATTGATTGTGCATCACCTTGGTGGCCTTGCTGGGGCAAGTGGAGATAAATTAATGTCTTAAAATCAATCAATCAATCAATCATTTTATTTACATCCCACCATTTTCCCACATCCATGGTCAAGCCCATACAGCAATAGCAATTCTGTAGAGGGCTAGTATAACCATTTAACTTCAGTCCATTGCAGGGTTGCTGCTGATAAGCCTACAAGCTGGAGATAGACCACCACCAGTCCCACCCTCATGTGTTACAACCAGGGCTTAGGAAAGGCACTTTTGAACTACAGGTCCCCTAACCTAGTTCCAGCTAGAATTTCCCAGCTCCAGCTAGAATGTAACTGGCAGCACATAATAGCAATAGCAAGTATATTTCTATACCGCTTATCAGTTCACTTAAGCAGTCCATAAACGTTTTACAAAGGATTTGAGGCCGAGTCGCCCCTGAGCCCCTGACTGGTATTGAACTCACAGCTTCGTGGTTTGTGTGTAAGTGGCTGCAGTACACACATTTAATAATAATAATAATAATAA